ATAAACTGTGCAACTGTTTGATGTTAACACATAAACTGTAGAAATGTTTGATGTTAACACATAAACTGTAGAAATGTTTGATGTTAACACATAAACTGCACAACTGTTTGATGTTAACACATAAAGTGCACAACTGTTTGATGTTAACACATAAACTGTGCAACTGTTTGATGTTAACACATAAACTGTACAACTGTTTGACGTTAACACATAAACTGTACAACTGTGTTCATGTTAACACATAAACTGTACAACTGTTTGATATTAACACATAAACTGTATAAATGTTTGATGTTAACACATAAACTGTACAACTGTTTGATGTTAACACATAAACTGTACAACTGTGTTCATGTTAACACATAAACTGTATAAATGTTTGATGTTAACACATAAACTGTACAACTGTTTCTGAATCATGAACAGTTTTTATTTTTGTGAAAATGTTGCAGGAGAACAGTGTGAATTTTCTCTCAACTCTTGCGCTAGTAACCCTTGTGCCCAGGGTGCTACTTGCGCAGTGCTATCCCAAGGAGGCTATTCCTGCAAGTGTCCACGAGGAAGGCGAGGGATTCACTGCGAAGAACGTAAGTTTGAGAACTCGTATGAGATCGGTAGGTTTGTTACGAAGCGATATAATTAGGATGTATTTAATGTTGCTGATAATCTTGTTTATTTATTTCTTTTCACCGAACTTATTGTATTCACTGTGCTGTGCCCACCGCGGATATCCTAGCCCAGTTTTCAGGATTATAAACCTTCGGAATGAACGCTGAGCCACTGGGGGCGGGGCGTTCGAGTGGGTGCTCCTTTCAGATGTAGAATGATAACATTTCAAGTGCCACACGAAAGAGTTCTTTTTAGACTTTGAAAAGATGCGTTTTATAATTATGTGAAAGCGTGTATTGGTTGTTGTTGTTGTTGTTATCTAATAGATTTAGTTTTTCTACAATTGTGCACAATTAATATATTAAGTCATTCGCTGTATATCAGTCAAAATTCATTTTTATATTCTTATGAATTTAAGTTAATATTTTAATAAAATCTTTGATTTTGTAATTCGTGCCATCATTAATGACATTAAACAATAAGACTGTGCTCGTCACATCACATAGTATAGAATGAAACATTAACGTCTGACACCGTATTGATCGTATTATTATTATTGTTTCAGTCCACAGAGATGTTAAAGAAGTGACAGTTCCTGAGTTTAATGGAGAGTCTTTTCTTCAATTACCGACATTACCCAGCGTTGGACTGGCTTTTACAATCGAAGTATGGTTCCTAACATATAAACTTGATGGATTGCTGCTATATAACGGTCAGGAGAGTCCGCCAGGTGGCGACTTTGTATCATTGAACTTAGTTGATGGGTTTGTCCAGCTTCGGTTCGACTTGGGAAGTGGAGTCGCCAGTGTGTCGTGAGTAGAACTATTTATTATTTTTGGTAGGAGTCGCCAGTGTGTCGTGAGTAGAACTATTTATTACTTTTGATAGTAGTCG